ATCAATGGCTACGTTCACACTGCAGGTCTCAACACTTAATTACCTCCGCCAAGGGCGAGGTAATGTTTTCGGTTACGTATGTCTGTCTGTCATTCTGTCTGTGGACAACATTACTCAAAAACTTGTGGACGGATTGTCATGACATTTTTAGCAAATGTGGGTACTGGGCCAAGGAACACACCTTTAAATTTTGGTAATCTTCTGGATCACGTTGCAGATACAGAAATTTTTTTAACACTCTGAGACTGGCAAAGCTGTGATGCTTTCACAGGGCTTCTGTAAAAAACAATGAGCTGGATTGGACAGCACGGACTTCAAACTTTATAAAAGTAATGTTAAAACCACATTTAATGATGAATAATTTTTGCCATAATATTATGCACATTTACAGAACGTTTTGTGACCAGGAAGTGCGTGACTACACCATGAAACCCATTTTTCCCATTTCCTCAAACACACCACATTCCCGAAACAACCAATCAAAACAGTTTCTCACTACTAGGCTTGTAAACAGAGAGCTGCTGCCGGGCCTCAAAGTTTGGAGACTGGGGGAGCCAGGAAGCACTTTATAAAGAGAGTCAAACCATTACAAACTCATACAAGGGGATAAAACAGACGTTTTACATGGTGAAATGTGACTGATAAAAACTTAGGAGCTTAATCCGACACCAGTTTGACGATGAATAACGTCGGGTGACGAGTCTGACTTTTTTTCACATTGGACTCCACCGAGAAGAAATCCCGTGCATACTGCCTGCTTAAATGTTCGCTACATCAGAACTTATTCAGCAAATGTGTTTTCATCTCTCCTTTTGCGCATTAACTCTTACAGGATGGGGGAAAATGGTCTTGGCGGAGGTTTGCACTCTCCGAGTGCTTCTAGCTCTTCTGTATGTTTTTTGTTGCGAATCTCACAGTTTTTGTGCTATTTCAACAATTTATATATCAAACGCTGACCTCCTTCAGGACATTCCAGGTATAGGTATATGGATGAGTTGAAACACTTCAGATTTTTATATAAACACTAACAAAGCGAATACAGAGCAATTATCTAAGCTAGAATTGTTTAAAATCTTGCAGAGTTATAAATCTTTAAGTCTTACCACAAATGGAGTTGATTCTGGCTGTTGGTCTGAAACTGTCCACAAAGTCTGAGATCAAACTGCCTAAAAGCTGTAAAATGAAAGCGTTAGATACACAGTGACAACGTTGTATATGAGTTTTTAAACAAACACAAAATCACCCACTTACCCAGTGTGAGAGCTGTCCTTCTGGATATAATTTTCTAATTTCTGTGACCGCAAAGTAGGCTGGCAGGAGGCACGCATTTCTGTCCAGGATATATTCAACCACCTAAAATACAAGCAAAAATAAAAAGATGAAAATGTGATTTATTTACAAAAAATAATAAGTAAAAAAAAAATACAAGAATGTAAATTTTAAAACACAAATAGGAGGTTACTTCTCTTGCAGCCAGAAGCTGCTGGACTATAGCAGAGCTGACGGTAGTGGGAATAGTTTGGATTTTATCCAGTACAGCTTTCAGAAGATCACGGACACCCTGGAATATGAATCAAAAGACAAGTGGTGAATCCAGATTCAAAACTCTACTGCGTCTGACAAAAGTGGTCCACATTTCATCCAAGAGAAGCAGAAACATCCCAGGGAAATGCTAAAATGTGGTACAGATTTGGCAAAACGATCTCTAAATATAGAATACTTGATTGTGGAGCATTTCATGTAAAGTTTGTGTAAAATCTCCTAAAGCTGTGTGCATGTTTGGGTTAGAGACCTTATAGTCCACGCCACCGATGATCTTGCGAATCAGTTTGAAAAGTAAGGCCCACAGCTGCGTCTTTTCCCACTCCAAACTATCGGAACTTATCAGAGCTACACAAACCATCCTAAAAGTAAACAAAATCATTAGATGAATGATTACCAAGAAATAAATGTACAATGCACAGCCTGTCATGTGTCAGATTTAACCACAATAAAGAATTTAATATAATTGCAAAAATATTTAACAACTAGTCAGCTTTAAGAATTTATCCAATTTTAAGCACACAACTATTTTTACAGTCAAATGGAAAAACTAAATCAACTTAAATGCATATCTAAGTGAAAATAGATCAATGAAAGCAGGTTTTGATGAGTGAGAGTGTGGACCTGGGTTGTAACAAACTGGTCTCCACAGCCATTGCTAGACAATCGTACAAGAACGCGATCCTTTTGGGACTGTGCTGACTGTGTATGAATCGCACTATCCACTGCACACAYTGCTCATGAGACTCCTGCAAAAAAGACAAACAGGTAATGGAAATAAGAAAAAACAAATAGGCAGTTCATCAATTATTATGTTAGCAAGTTTTTATCTGTGTTGGTGTAAAACCTGTGGCAGGGTTCCCCAGTACTGTCTAAAAGCTCCAAGACAGCTGATTAGTTTAGTCCTCTCATCCTCTGGAGAGTCCATAAACATCCTAAAAACACAGTTTATGTTTACATTTTYTAATGATTTTTTAAAATATTACTGCTTCTCTACTGTTGCATCAGTCTTTTGYCCTAGTGGAGGGATAATTCTCTATTTAACCCTAAATCACTTGTCACTGAAAGTTTAAAAAAATTATCTCAATAGCCCACACCTTAGTAATGATGGTGAAGTTTGATATCGAGAGATTCCTCGATACTCAGAAAGCTGGTGCTTTTATGCTCTAAGTTCCTTCCTAGCAGAAGGGAAAGCACAACCTAATGTGTTACCAGTGAGTTTCCTGCGTGTGACCATAATGGTCTTAACTGATTTCCCAATACTGAGTAATTGGGTGTGGGGTTTTCTATCTGATGTGAGTGCGAGCAGAATAAAACCAACAACTTCAAATCAGGCTTCAACAGTTGTGGTGTAAGAATAAAATTGAAAACCCATCCTAAGCTTTTGAAAACTTCATAAAACACCTTTAATGCATATAAGTATAGAATTATTAATTAGATGTAAGTAAATCTGGAGCCACCTTACCCAGCAAAAGCTTCTTCTATCAACTCTGTTTTCTGTAAAAGTAAGAAAAAAATATATGGAAAAGACACAAAAATGTTCAAAAATCGAACTTATAACAAAATTTCTATGGTGGTTTCTMTGCTATGGTGAGTTCAGAGGTAAATTTTGAAGATAATGATCATGAGGACATGATTTGCTTAAAGAACTGTGATGTTTTCAGACAAAGACTTCATAATTTACACATGAAAAAGCAAGCTAACAGTGTTAAATTGTTTAAAAACAGTCGGCTCTTTATGTACATTCACGCATTTATCTGATCAAATGCATTTTTATGTTTGCACGGTCAATAAATTTGCAAATATGAGGAAAGCTCRGCGAATAACAGTGAAATGCTAATTTTGAATGCTAACAAATATTAGCGCACTTAAATATGTTCACGAAAATTAGAGTTACCACAACATCTTCAAAGATGCTCTGCAGCTGCGTCTCCATTGAAAGCGCCATGTCTGCAACAGCGACGGGTCCAATTTTTACCTAAACATCGCCGAAGAAAACAAAACACTTTCTGCTTTCCACAGGCTAAACGCTAACAGAAGAGCACCGTGAGATCATGTGGCCACCACCAAAACACTCCGGGTACACATTACAAGCACAAGACAAGGGTTCCGCTGTCTTTTGACTGCGCACAGTTAATTTACACGCTGTGGTCTAATAATTTGCCATAATTATAGATTGTAATTTTTAAAAACTGTATAGTGTATATATTTTAGAATGTTCTATTTACCAAAACACAAACTAGGAATTACAGATACTAGTGTTGGTCTCGTGCACTTACATGCGCATTTAAAATTGTAAAATGAATAGTTTTAAAAGACACAGTCAAGTGTCAGATGATATGGGTTTATAGTAATGAAGCTAATGCTAATTATAGGCAGCTAATAAAGTACTATCTTTGCCGTTTTAGTTTAGCACATATCAAAAATAAAATAAAAGTTTTGAAGGTTAAGCTGTAATAAAACTAATGAGAAATATAAATTAACATCCTTCAATCTTTTCTAAGAAGGGTAATAAAATAATTTAATGTGTTTTTGCTACGAAAAAGCGGGGAACACTTGGGTTGTGAAAACACCTGCTCAGGTGTAATGTGCACAAAACAAGCGAGATCACATTCCTTCCTCAAACACGGAAACAAGCTGGATTCGCCGTAAATCATTGAGGTTTAACAGGTTTAGCCTTGACAGGCAGGGATCATTTTYCCCCTCTGACATAATTCATGCCGCGTTGTTTCCTCGTACATCGTTCTGATTTGGTTTGGTCGCGAGGAGAAACACCTGTAGCGACAGGTGTGCTGCCTGAAGAAGAGGCGCTCGGAGCTAAAGAAAAACGGATTATTTGTTTTGAAAACATGATCGCTCCTTACCGAGATGTGGACTGAGTGGATTTTTATTAGCCTTTTGGTTCTGCCCTGCGCAGGTAAGTCTGCATTAAACTAACAAGGGGAGAATGTCCTGCATTAAATTAAAATTAAATATGTATAGTTGAGTCATTTAGACTTTGTTTCCATAAATAATCGGCCTTTACCGTGTAAAGTTCAGGCCAAAGTTTTTGATAGTTTCAGGCGGCCTTTCATTTAATCCTGAATAAATCTCCTGAATAAATAAATCTCAATGTAGAGAAGATCTGAGGCAACTTTATAACAGCAGAARCTCACTTTGTATGCCAGAAGTATTCAAGAGGTCATCTAATAAACATGACAAGTACAACTGGAACAGGACTTRAAATAAAGTACATAAAATAGTTATATTATGAGAATGAGGAATATTTATTATAAATATTTATTATAAAATGCTTTGTGACTGTTACTAACTTTTATTATTACTTATTCATTACATAAATCAGTTCTTTAACTGCTGTACAATGGTCAAGGTGAATGCAAACTTCCACATCTAAAGCTTCAAATTAACTTTGATACTCAGAATGACCTGAAACAGGCAGTTTGATTAATTTGTGAAAACGTGAAAATAATCCTTATGCTCAAATTGAATTTAGGGGAGAAATGCAGATGGAAACTTGGTAAGCATGATTGATACAATTTTTATTGTGAAAAATGTCTTCATTATTCATTTATGTAATTTTACAAACATTTTATACAACATATTACAAGTTAAATGAATAATTCACTGTTTGAAGAGCTTATTAAACATGCCGYCCATTTTACAGGAAAAGGCCACGCTCTGTTTGTACATCACTGATTAGAACGTTGTTCATGATAATGGAGTAGATGACTCTCTTAGGCTAATGTGTATTTTATGGGTTTTTACCCGTTTTTTCATTTGTTTTTATTTTATATTTTTGTTCTATCTTTCTAATATGCAATTGTAGTTTAGTATAAAAAGTCAAAACCTTCAACTTCTCATAGGATAGGTACTGAATTTTGCACAATGTATTACATTAGCAAAAGTACTAAGTTGCATTTTACCATTAATATAACGTCTACTTACATGGTATAAGCGGAACAATGGAATGAGAAATATCTTTTTTATTTGTAGTTTCAATATCAGTTAAGTGGTTTTGGGGTCCAGTTTCATTGTGCCCTCTTGACCAGTATGAATCGTATTGGTGTTTATTTCACAAAAACACCAGGTGCTTCACTAAATTGTTCACTGCTAGTCTATACTCACAGCTCTAAAACCCACGTGTTTCCCAGACAGAAATGGCTTTTTTTTCCCCTTTGTGTATATAATGAGATTAAATTACTTCTGTGTGTTATAAGAAATACAAAGGATTACAGTGGTGGGATCAGTCAGACTGCTTGTCAGATTGAGACGTCCAGAGGAAAAAAACATGTTTCTAAATCTCTACATTTGATTCCATTCCTCCTCAGTCTCCACTTCGATTCCAGAACCGACTGAAGTCAGCTTCTCCTCTGTGAACCTGAGGAACGTGCTGCACTGGTTACCAGGAGATGATTCGCCAAACACAATATTTACAGTGGAATATGCTGTGTAAGTCAGGAATTTGGAGTCAAGATTTGACAACAATATTTTATTTTTAAAAGAATGTGCACTCAACTGGGCTTGATTTGGTCTACTGTACTTTGTCTTTCGCAGCTATGGAGAACCCATCAAGAACCGCAAGGGAAAACTGAAAGACTGGAGACCAGTTAAGCTGTGCAGGAAAATAGCACGGACTTGGTGCGACCTGAGCACTGAGACGCAGGATGTGGATCAAGGATATTTTGCCAGAGTCCGTGCTGTTAGACCACAATCAACTTCAAATTGGGTTTTGACACCAAGATTTGATCCAAAGTCAGAAAGTAAGTACTTAATCACTGGCTTCAGTTGTTCTCACACCATCCTGAAAAAAAAACAACAGGTTTTACAAATTTAGATGTAACTTGAACGTCTTGGTAAGGTTGACCTTGGAGTTTTCAGTTTTTGTCTGTCCATATAGCTGTTTTTGGCGCCCCGGAGGTTTCTGTGGAAATAGAGAACAACAGCGCCGTTATCAGTCTGAAGGGACCGATGAGGCATTTAGCAAACAATCACACCTCAGTGCTTACTCCTATGAAGCACATCTACCACCACATGTCTTACAACCTCTCCATCCACAATACCCACCTCAACCAGATGGTGAGTAAAAATAATTTACACAACGCTTCTGATCTCTGATCTCACCAACTTATTGTCAAAGTTGTGCTTTCGTAGCAACATATTCCAGTGGTCAACAGCCCGTACAAATATCAGCTGATGGAGTACAACACAAAATACTGCTTCTCTGCCAAAGCAAGGTTCCTCTCCATTCAGAGGAAAAGCGAGTCCTCCGTGTGGCACTGCATCACCACGCCTAAAGGTACAACAATTTTTAAATCATGCTTGCTAAAAAATATTTTTCTCCCAGGATGGCAGAAAGACTGGTAGAAAGGAATGTGACTAAACAAGAAACAGAAACCGAAGTGAAACCGATGCTATTAGACGTGTTGTTCCATTTCTCAGAGCTAGAATGTTGATCCACTGGAACGGTCAACCGCAGCGCAGTCTGTTGCCAAACGAGAGAATTTGTGCCACCATCTTGGTGCAGACCAAGATAAAAAAATAAGCATACATTCTATAAGTTTAGGTTATTGGTGTAAATTATTACAGACAATGGCGGGCACAAATCTTTTATAGTGGCAGAGACAATGTTGGCAAATGATAAGGGTAGTGTCCATCTAGTGGGCACCACAAATAGGGGATATACATACATATACATATACATATATAT